GATGCCGTTGCCAGCTAATGGTATCATTACTAGTCTTTGCAACACCATAACTCTCTGCTTCATCGAAAGACATCGCCGTGAAAATCTTCCCTGGCCTTTTTTTTCCATCAACAAATGCCCCAACTTTCTCATTTTCCTTACCAAGAACTCTCCTTTGATGGCTCAAATCAACCCAAACATCTTTCACAAGGTTCAATCTCCCAAACTCCTTAATCACGACCTCCCTCACCGATTCCTCAATCGCCACCACCCCGAAATCCGTTGGAAACTTCGCCGCAGGGTTCTTCCTCTCAACCCATTTCCAACCTTTCAATTTAACATTCTTCTCAAGGTATGATTTGTGATCTTGAGCTTTTTTATATTTAAGAAACCTAACTATATGATTTGTATGAGTGATTTTCTCGTCTGAGTTTTGTTGATTGGGTAATTGCGGTTTGGATTGCGGGATTAGGGTTTGGTTTTGGAAAGGTTGGTGGGTTTGATGGAGATGGGGGTTGAGGTGGAGGAAAGAGATTGAAATGAAGAGTATCAGGAGAGAGAGGCTGAGTAAGGAGGTTTGGGGAGTGGAAGTCATGGCGCGGTTGAGGATGTTTCAGGGTGGTGAATGGTTTGGCGGGATCGTTCGCACATCGAAGGAGATAGTGTGCGTGTGCGTGCGTGTGCGTGTGCGTGTGCGTGTGAGAGAGGGAGAGAGAGATAGATCTTAGTTCCTCTGTTTCATGGATACGTCGGATGATTTGACTAGATATCGTATCGTACTAATCGTACATGGTGAACCGGTAAGTTTGGTTACGTGGGAATTAATCTCCCCAATCACTCACCAGGATTATTTTGTGTCCGCGGTTATAATAATCCAAGGACAAAAAAGAATGAATGCACTAATCCAAGGATATTGGGGATTGGAAATTCGATTCGATTGATAAGCGAAGATTGTCATGAAGATAGATTTTTATAAATTTTTGTAGATGACTTATGACATGTTATACCAACTCTTTATATTATATTGCTTATTTTTTGAATATATTTATTGTAATCATATAAATAAATTAACACTTTCAATTAATTTATTTATCAGAGTTCCTCTATGGGATTAGTGTACTCCTGCAAACAAACATTACTTGTATGTTGGTGAAACTTTGCTAAAAGCCTAAAACGACGCCGATTTCAACCTTTCACAGTCACACCGTCATTTTATCTTCTCCACTTCAAAGCGCATAACGTATCACGGCTCACCAGTACATGGCGCGAGGACTCCTCGTCTCTTCACAGAGTAAAACCACTTCACAATTGATACTAACCTCCATATCTAGGGTTTCACTCTCAACACTAACCAAAGGCCTCGAAAACCCATTTGCTTCGACTCACCTACGGTGCTCTCCCTCCACTCGCTTTCTCTGCTGCTGCTCCAATTACCAGCAACATGACCCAATCGACATGTCGACGTACAGAGAAGCTTTCGCAAAGAGAATGGCTATGGCCGGTCTCAAGCCACATCACCGTATTGGTCAGTCTCCCCCCCCCCCCCAATCTCTCTCTGTCTCATTCACTTTTTTTCTGTTTTGTATGTTCCTTTATTTTTCTTAGCAACAACTGAGTTTACCCACCAGAAACCATCAGATTAGAAATTTCAACTTTCTTTTTAGGCCGGCCATCTGGGATTTAAAAATTTGATCTCATTTTAAAATTTTCCCTATCTTTCTCTGTAAAGGACATTGACATGTGAAGTTGCAGGGAAAGAAAAGGAAGGTCAAAGCTTTGAACTTTGGATCAATCATAATTTAGGACCTTTGGATAGCATATATACAGGGCACCGGTGATAGAATTTTTATTAATGGTACTAGGAGTGGGGTAGACCGAAATTAATATTGAACAAAATAAAAAGAAAAAATATGAAAATATTTAATTAAATGAGTGTATATCTTATGTACGAAATAATTGGGACATAAGATTTGGTTTGGATAGCATATATACACAGTTAACATTCAAAGAATGTAGATACACATAGGTTCAGGAGATTGATAATCGTTTTGTTTTCAGCTATTGGTGTTTCTGGTGGCCCAGACAGTATGGCACTGTGTGTATTAGCTGCCGGATGGAAGAGTGATGGCCTAAATGCTGCTTCCCATATGAGCAGTGGGTTCATTGGTGGACTTTTGGCAATAGTTGTTGATCATGGATTCCGTGCTGAGAGTAAACATGAAGCGAGCATTGTTTGCCGTCGAGTTATGGATATGGGTATAAATGCCTTCCCAAGTAACTTCGCTCATTTGAACTTTATTTGACTACATTAGCTGGTTAATTTAGGTCATTTGTAGGAATCAAATGTGAGATTGCTCATTGTGAATGGTCAAATGGTAAGCCCAACCAGGGTCACTTACAAGAAGCAGCTCGTGATAAGAGGTAATTTTGGCAAAATTATCAAGTTATGTTCCACTAGGATTGTTCTTGATTGCGAGTTATTTAAGTTTCCTTTTTATGGATTTGTAAATTTCAGGTATCAAATTCTACAGGATGTTTGCGTTCAACACCTGATTGGCGTGTTATTAATAGCACATCACGCAGATGACCAGGTTTGGGCCATATGTAATTTTAAATCTATGAATTAATCAGCAATTAATGAAAAGAAATAGCAGGCTTATGCTATTATGGATGTGGCTGAATGTTTTTTCCCATCATGATAAGAAACAAAAGCTTACAAGCATAATGCAGGCGGAGTTATTCATTCTCAGATTATCTCGTGGTAGTGGTGTGCTTGGACTTGCTGGCATGGCATTCACTTCCCAATTGTTCACTAAATGTTCAGATTTTGATGGTGAAGCTTCAAGCAGGCATGGCATTCTATTAGTGCGACCACTCTTGGAGTACTCAAAAGGCGACATGTACAAGGTTTGTCATGTTTTATGCGTCAATGATACCAAAACTATTTTCTTCTCTAGCGCAATACCTTCAATTCATACCTACTTTATCGTAGAACATAACTTGAATTCCAGTTTGTTGGTAGTCTTTACTGTAAACATTTTCAATGTGGAAGATAATTCTACTCAAGAAACCTTGGTATGCTGGCCAGCCAAACTGTGAAAGCAGAATTGCAACCAAACGAGTGAAAATATGTCAAATTGTGATGTCTAGCTTTTGTTTCCTTGGAGAAGCTTTGAAGTGGTTATGCTATTTGTGATAAAATTCTTTCCTATTTAGTTTCTTAAGAAGTTTATCTGAATGCATCCTTGTTTGTCTTGCAGATATGTCAAGGGGGTGATCAAGAATGGGTGGAAGATCCAACAAATCAAAGTGCATTGTTTGCTCGTAATAGGATCCGTATGTCATTGAAAAACTTGTCATCAGGTGCGTGGTAATTGAGACGACAGCTTTAATATTTGGACTTTGTTTCTCTTCATATTAAGATTCATTAAGGGGTTTTGCTATTTCAAGTAATCCAATACGTTGAGCTTTTCAATTTATATTATCGACACTTATCTTACCATCCTTTTCTTCTGTGGTGAGTTATTTGGCTGCAAGCAGATGTGTGCAAGGCTTGACATATAATACTACTATTTCTTGGTTTACAGCGATCTTCAATTCTGAATTACAAGCAGTTATATCTGCCTGTCGGAGAACACGGTTGCATGTTGACCAAATTTGTCGTAATTTATTAAACAAGGCTGTGACTGTCATGCCTGTAAGTATCGTGTGACTACGCTGTGATCCTTTTCTATTTATAGTGCATGATTTTTACACTTTGATTGCACTGTATTTGTGTAAGTAGATTTAGTTGATGCTTCTGTTCTATGTTATTAATTTGCCTTTCAGTTTCTTGTTTTGGTCAACTGTAAAAGGATATAATGATAGATAATGCAAATATGGAATAAGTAAATTGATATAATAGGATTAGGAAGCATACTACCATGATGTCACAAGCAAGGAGGCATAACAAGAACCTAAGAATCTTGAAAATTTGTTTATCAAGTAGTTAAAGTGCGAAAAACAAGACACTCGGTTCTCCTTCCGCTCCGCTTTTGGTATTAAGAAAAGGAGCCGTCGGTATATGTAGGACTTTCCGCCTTAAAGAAAAATGGCACTAGCTGGGTCGCCCCTATCTCTAAAGGGCAGAATGGGCCCTTACTCGGCCTATTAAGCCCCTAACTCAAATAAGGGGGCGAGTGCGGTTTGATGAACCGGCAAAAAGGAAGTACATATCAGGCCACCTTGCTTAGATCCCCGGATCGTAGCATAGGCCTAGGAGATGCCACTCGCAGAGGTACGCGCATTCAATCCTTTTCCTTAGCGGAGGCTCTCACGCACTCCTATGTATGGATTTAAAGTTCGCTCTTCCCCACCCCCTTCTTATTATTAGTAAGATAGAGAAAACGGAAGTCGCTTGCCTGAACCTGCGCCCCGAACTCAAAAAAGTGAAAAGAAAAAGGACTAAAGCATGGAACCTCTGCCATATATATTGGCAGGGGGCGGGGAGAACCCTCTTGAAAGAGACATGGCCCCAATACAATAAGTGTGCTGTTGACTTTCTGTATATGATTCATATATTAATACGGGAGTCTACATTTGAAGTGAGGGACAGGGACTTTTTGATAACAAGAAGGCGAACTGCTCTAATCGAAAAGTGAGTCGCCATTTTAGTTAGAGGACTGCAGTATGATATGCGGTGTGCATTGGTCCCGGTTGGAATCACCAAGTTTTCGAAGCTGATCGAAAGAGCTACGGAATTCAAAGAGGTTGTTAAAGAAAGAAGTACACCATCGACCAGCCGAAAGAAATGCTTGATTTCCAACAGCCTAAGGGGTACAGAAATCAGACACCGCCTCGGGGAGGGAATAATCATAGAAAGAATAGACCTCGGAGAAGGAAGTTTTATTTGAATGTGTTTAATACAGAAAAATGGTTCGACATTATGATAGCGAATGGGACCTTAACGTGACCTGATTCTGATTATGATGTATGATGACGAAAGGAATTTATTGTCGGTCTTAGAGCCGGTAGACTTTTTGAGTATAAAAAGAATGAGCTTAGTCAATGAACCATAGCAAGTTGGGAATTCTGTCATGCTTGACTCTCTCTTTTTCATGACCGGATTGTCAAAGGAGAATTGGTATATGAGTCTTAGAATACCCCCGCTGAAACACAGCCTTTGCCGGATCACCAAGCTTATTACTCTCTAAATCTGCCAACTGCTTCAGCCAATATTGCCACAGCTGAAACAGAGGATGATGTAGAAGAAGAAAATCTCCCGATTCAGCCTTCTTCTACATCATCGGTTTCCCCTTCCCCTTCGCTACCAGCTCCTTCTCACCTTTCGAACCGACCGCTTCCCGATCTCAACCTTCCCCCGGCTCCTTCGCCGGAGCCTGCCCCTCCTGCACCACTTTCGGCGGAAGAAGAACAAGACCTTCTAACGAAAAGGGAGCAGGTAAAGCGTGAACTGCGGATACTCCTGAGAATTGGCTATGACCGCAGGGGTCGGAATGAGAAAAACGGTTGAGAAAACTCCCCC